AGATGTAATCGATCTGATTCCTATGCATACCATCAGGTGAAATCCAGGTATATAACCTGCGTTTATGTCTCTTACAAAATGTATTTGCTATGAATAAGTCATTGATAGTGCAAAATTCGATCATTCTCTCTCCAGCTCCATTTCTGTCACTGAGTCCATGTTTTCCAACTACTGAATCTTCTTCAGTCTTCCCAATAGGTCTTTCAATATCTTTTGCCCGTTTTATAATAGGGTTATCAGTCTTTTTCTTGTGGAAGCCCTGTAGGATTCTGTAAACTACTGTTATAAGACCCCTTTCTGAGATGGTATTGCCAAATGTTTTTTCCTACTTAGTAGGTTTTCTTTTTACCTTATTGGAAAATTTTTGAGGAGCACAAGGATTCATTAATTTTATCCTTTCCTGCTTGTGTACAGAAATTAGATTCTTAATAAAAAGTCTACCCTAAAATACTGAGTACTAGTGGTAGAAGAAATAAAATTCTATGCATGTGTTTAACCCAGAGAAGTGAGCTGGAAAGGATCTTTAAATAGGTTTTGCCATAATGAAAATAATTAAACTCACTGAAATTTGGATAGTTTACTGAGTAGTTATTCTATATGCATACTGGAAAGTAATTTTTACTCTAGGAAAAGCTAATGGCTCAAAAAAGCTAGGTACAATAAGGCTTCAATACAAGGCTTCAATAACAGAAATAAAAATTATCAATTACTGGTTAATCTTTCACTGTTTACAAGTGTTCTCAGTTCACAAGGCATCTCTGCTCCTCCACCCAGCCCTTTTCCTTACCTCCAACTTTTTATTGTAATTTGAGTAAAAGTTCTACAGAACAAACTGTTTTTCCGGGCAACAATTTATACATGACTTGTATTATGACATGATTACACCTCCCACATTGCAACAGCCCTATTCCATTTCCTGTTTTGTTTCCATTCACCTGTCTTTCCCATCGCTTCCTGTCTTGCCAAGATTGTCCCTTGGTTGGGGAGCTCTGGTGGCATAGTGGCAAGGAGCTGCAACTACAATCCCAGAGGCACACGGTTCGAATCTACCAGATGCTCTGCCGGGGAAGGAGGGACAATCTCCTCCCGTACCAGTGAGATCTGATTTGACGGTATACTCACACAAAAAATAATAAAAAAATTTAAAAAGAAAAAAAAAGATTGTCCCTTGGTAAATATTATTGCCCTCTCGATATTGTAGTGTTCACTGTACTGAGAAGTGCATTCCTCTCTGGCAAGATAATTCACTTTACAGGCCTATCCTATTTTTATCTTAAAACAGAATTACAGAGATGATGTCAGTCCCAGGTGTGAAGGGTGACTAAGGGCCATAGTTCTGGCAGTCCATCACTCTATCTGACCAGTAAATCTGTTTTGGGTTTGTTCTTAACATTCTCCTGTGCTCTGAGTTAAAATTTACAGAACAAACTGGTTTCTATGTTTAACTTTATGACTTTATTTACAGTCCATACAATTTAACAACACTTTGCCCAATTGCTTTGTGTTACTTGTTTCCAATTGCCCTTCCAGCCTAGCATTTCTTGTCTTCTGAATTATCTCTCTGAGAAAATGCTGCCCTTTTGCCCATATGTCATATGTTTGCTGCTCTAAGGACTGAGTACCTCCCTGGTGTTACCATCTACCTCATAAGCTTATTGTTTGGCTGATGCTGAGCCATAGGGTGAATTTAGTTACAGACTGAAAGAGCTATTAAGGGGCACAGTCTTGGGGGTTCCAGACTATTAGATCAGCAAGCCTGGCCAATTTTAGAGTTTTGGTCTCTTTTATTCTACCACTCTATATAGGAACATCTACTGAGATCCCCTTTCAGAGGCTCTGAAGGCTCTATTATGCCAATTCACCTTGGTGTCTCCCAATACTCTGGTCTTGAGGTTCACACATTACTCAAAGTGTGTGGTTATGATTAAGATGTTTACAGTAACTTTGCCTGCTGTTGATTCTACTATATACAGATATATTTATGTCATATACAAATATGCTTATTTAAACATCATCTGTCAAACCTATATATGGTTTATGTGTGCCATCCTTTCCACTTGCCCATTGTCTCACCTCTATATCCACTTACAGATTAATGTTTGTGATGACTGCCTAAGATTGTGCATGCAAATGTTTGTATTTGATGTCTACATATCCTGTGCACCTCTTCTTTTCTTTAGTCCAATTGTGTGGATCACCTTCTATTATAAATGGCCTTTCTGTTAACCCAGACACTGCGCCTCTCCAGTGGTCTGAATCTACCAGTAGTTCTATAGGAGAAAAATCGGCAATCTGTCTCCATGAAACTTATGGAGAGTCAGCCATGAGTCAGTTCTGGTCCCATGAGTGGAATTAGTGCTCAACTATATTGCCTGTACTCTCATCCTTTTTGTCCTCAATCTCTGAAATTTTAGTATTATTCTCCTCAATTTCTAATTGGTTTTGTTTGATTTCCAATCTTCTGCTTTTGTACTGGTTTTCTGAATTTTTGTAAGGTGGTGTATTTTTTCCCTATGATCCCGTCTGTGGTTTCTTTGAGCTCCTAGAAGATGCTGTATATGGGCATTTTTTTATTCCTTATCAAGTTCATTCTGAGAACATTTCCTGGTTCTTTATTTTGGTCACTTCAAATCATCTGGTTTTCTTTGCTTGTCTGTCGTCTCCTAGACATTCTGAAGTTGTACTTATTTGTTGACTATGTGTTGGCTTACTTCATTTTGCTTTTTGTTTTCCTTAATTATATCTTGAGATAAAGGCTGGATTATGTATTTAGTTGCTAATTTGACAAAAAAGAAGTACTTCCTACCTGTCTCTCAGTAGCTGGAATAATTGGTAAGACTTAAGACAAGAGTATCTCTTACATCTATTATCATAGTTGTTTGCAAAATAGACTAGGGCAGGAGGAGAGAGGAAATTGTGCAAAAGTGAATGAATGAAAATTCAACTTTTCTGTAAACTTTCATTAAAATCACAATGATTTTAAAAAAGAACATGCAGTGCACTTGCCCTTTTGGGCACTTTGGTAGATGGTAGGTGCTGTACATATAGTTGAGTGAGAGAACAATATTTGCCTGACACTAAATGGGGTTGCTACTGTTTGATGTCATCCAGTAGACTGTAACATCTTTATGAACAACAGATCTGGCCTTCTCTAGTCTATGCCATCTTCATGATCTCTCATGTTCAAGCCCACTGTTATAGTCAGTGTGTTAATCCATCTTTGAGGGTCTTCCTCTTTCACTAATCTTCTCTTTTCCTAAGCATGGTATCTTCTTCCAAGGACTTTTTGTCTTCTGATGTCATAATGCCCAAAGTATGTATAATGAAGTTTCACCAACTTTTCCTCTAAGAGCACTCTGGTTGCATTTCTTCCCAGACAGACTTGCTTGTTCCTTTGGCCATCCATGGTATATGTAATACTCTTGACAGTACCACAGTTCAAAGACATTGATTTTTCTTCAGCTTTACTTATTCCTGGTCCAGCTTTCACAAGAATATGAAAGAACTGAAAATACCATGGGACGCATCAGGTACACCTTAGCGTTCAAAGTCACATCCCTGTTCTCTAGCATTTTAAAGAGGTCTTTGATGGTAGATTTGCCCAATGTAAAACGTCATCTGATTTCTTAACTGCTGCTCCTATGAGGGTGATTGTGGCTCTAATTAAAATCAAATCACTGACAACATCCACCTTTTCTCCATTTATCATGATGTTGCCTTTTGGGCCCAGGGGTAAGGATTTTTTGTTTTCTTGCTGTTGAAAGGAAATCCTTATTGAAGGCTGTAGTTGTTGATCTTTTTCAGCAAGTGCTTCAAGTCTTCATTTTTGGCAAGCAAGGTTGTGTCACCTACCTAAAGCTGGTTGTTGATGAGTCTTTCACCAATCCTGATGCCAAATTCTTATGATCCAGCTTCTCAAATTATTTCCTCAACTTACAAATTGAATAAGTATGGAGAAAGGATATAATCCCAAGACACACTTTTCCTGATTTTCAATTATCTCCTTTGTTCTGTTTGGACAACAGCTTCTTGTTCTAGGTAGTGTTTTCCTTGAGTATAATTAAGTGTTCTGGTATTACCATTCTTCTCAAAGCTACCCACAATTTATCACAATCTGCACAGTTTAATTCCTTTACAAATGCAATAAAACACAAAGTAAACATCTTTCTGGTCTTCTCTGATTTCAGTCAAAATCCATTTGAAATCAGCAATGTTGTCACTCATTTCATGGCCTCTTGTGAATCCAGTCTAGATTTCTGGAAGTTCTCTATTAATGTACTGTTCCTGTTATTTTTCTATACTCTTCAGCAAGATTTTACTTGCATGTGATATTGATGTTTGATGATTTCCACACTCTTTTGAATCACCTTGTTTAGAATGAATGGGAACAAATAAGGATCTCTTCCAGTGGGTTGATTAGGTAGCTGTCTTCTAAATTTCTTGGTACAGACCACTGAGCATGCCAAAGGCTACATTGATTTGCTGAAACACCTTAATTGGTAATCCATCAATTCCTGAGTCATTATATTTTACCCATGTCTATAGTACAGCTTAAATTTCTTTCAGTACCAATGAGGCTTAATCATGTTACGTCTTGACAATTTCAATCTTTTCTCATTTTGCCTATAAGCCCAGTGGTAAAAATTTTCATCTTCTTAATGTTGAGATGTAATCTGTACTGAAGGCTGTAGTCTTTGAAGCAAGTGCTTCAAATCCTCACCATTCTTTAGCATCTTACAGTTGTGATCGTATACCTTAATAGTTCTTTTACAAACGGCTTATGTCATTCAGCATAATTTGTTCCAGATTGATCTACATTATGTAATGTTTATGAGTACTTTATTAGTTTTTTCGTGACACATAATACTCCATTGTGTTAATGTAACACAAGGTCTTTAGCCATATGTGTGTTGATAAGATACTTGGGATGATTATAGATCTATGCTATTGTAAATAATACAGTAATTACATGGGTGTGTGTATAATCAGTTTCTGTCCTGGCTCCTATTTCTTTGGGACATTATATCTTATTGTGGGATTGCTGGCTCAAATGGTACTTTTATTCTCAATTTTCTAAGGCATGCCAAACCATTTTCCATAGAAACAGTGTGTACCATTTTACATTCTGAGGTAACAAATGATATTTAAATATAATTTTCAAAATCACTACAAAAACATTTTTAATATAGTAATACAGATGGGAAAACAAGATTTACTGGCAGGTATAGAACTTAATGCAATTTGGAAAAAAGTGAGGAATGTCAATAGTATTTTAAGATGTCAGCAGAAATGAGTGTTAGGAAAGCATCTATAACTTCTACGGATGACAAAAATCACACCTACATGAAATATCACAGTGGTATTATTGCACTACCCAAGTTTATGAGCCCTTAAACTGTATAGGAAACTTTTGACTCCTATTGTAAGAAGACTTGTATTATGGCAAACTGTCAAACTCAGCTGGAATGTTCCTCCTATGAAGTATTCCATTCTGAGCTTAATGAAGTACATTTTAGTCTCCATCCATGTGGAAAGTCCTCACAACTTGGACAAAAATGCTAATGAAAATTTGATTTAAAGAACTAAACTCTGATGCAGAGCACTGCAAACTACTGGGGGAAACCTCCTAAATCTCCACCTAGTACATGTTTTTTTCTATTTTCTCTAAAATACTTTAAATAAATACTTACCAAAGGTAATCTTATGTGACTATTTTTCATATATTTTGCTGCATGGTCATAGTCATTCACCTTCCCAGAGGCAAGTTTGGAATTCTCATTTGCAGGATATGGCTAGTGAAACAAACGAGATTCCTAGTTAAGATATATTCAAATTTATAATTCAGAATTAAACAGTCACTGAATATAACATTTAAGGTAATAATCCCTATGTATTATTATGTGGGTCATAATAAATTATGTATAAAATTGAGAATTGGAATTCCAAGATACTACATTGTACTCATAAGGAATCTGTAAATGAATCAAGACAGATATGAACATTATCTATTTGAACAGATCAGAACTGCATGATTTAAAAAGTATGCATCAAACTGTTTATTTCACCATACCTCTTCAAATTATATACTCAGCAAATAATTCAAAGCTGGACTACAGGAAGAAAAATGTAGCCTCAGGATTGGATAAAGATTCATCCAACTGCCTGCATTATGCAGATGATACAACCCTGCTTGCCGAGAGAAGAGGACTTGAACATTTACTAAATAAGAACCAAGCCTATAGCCTTTAGTATGTATTCACCATTAAGAAAATGAAAACTTTCAAAAGTGGGACAAAAGAGTAAGGCTGTACTGGATCCAAAACCAATCCAAATGGAACAGTAGTCAGGAAATCAAATAAACTATTGCTGTCACTGACCTCTTGAAAGTACTAAAGAAAAAGGTGTGCCCAAGGTATTTTCAATTGTTTCATATGCATGTGAAAGTTGTATAATGAATTTGTAAGACAAAAGAAGAAATGATGCCTTTAAATTGTGGTGCCAGCAAAGGGTACTGAATAGAAAATGAAATGACAAAAAAAACCACCAACAACCAAATCTGTGTTTGATGTTGAGACAGAATATTCTATAGACACAAACATCTGAGAATTTGTCTCATATACTTTGAGCATGCTGTCAGAAGGACAGAACTTGGAAGGGGACAACATGTTTGGAAAGGTGAAGGGTCAGTGAAGGAGAGGAAGAGTAAAGGAAATGGAATGACAGTAGCTGCAACAATGGGCTTAAGCACAGTAGTGACTGTGAGCATGGTGTGGAATCAGGCAAGGGTTCACAATGTCCCTCTGAGTTAGTGTCAACTGGACAGCAGTTAATATACAAGGCTGTTAACGGAAAGGCTGGCAGTCTGGAAGACCTAATAATCTACTTCTGAAAAACCAGCAACTGAAAACCCTAGGAGGAACCAGGGTGCATAGGCTGAGGAGACCTGTGTCCCCTCATACACATACACACACACTCCACACCCCATAGCATAGTGGTTAACATACAAAAATTTTTAAATAGGGACCTTAATTACTGTGAAACCTTCACCAAAAACACAATAAATCATTATTTAAAATATAGAACTCAATGGGATTAAGTTTTGCCCTAATACATACAGTCAATGTGACAACAGCTGATCTTTTTCTTTTATAAAAATCTAGAATATCACACTTGAAGACATTCTCCATTCATAAAAGATTTAGTGTGCAGCTACCATGTAGTCTCTATCCTAATACCAAAGATTGCGAGTATAAATATAAATAATCTAATTTATAAAAGTGTCTATATGACCTTGAAAGGAGTGAACATGTCCACTATGAGTTAAAAATGTTATCTTAAAAAATTACTTACCTCCAGTGCTTGCATTCGTTTTAACAGTATTTTATTTTCATTGTTTTTAATCTTTTCTTCATAAAACTCCAGAAATGTCTTTTTGTAGACTAGTTTCATATGGTACTTCTTTGCCATTCTGCCCAAAATAAAGATTCATTAATAAAAGGCTACCCAAAAAGTTTCCAATTCTTCAACTGCTTACTTCTGCATAATAATTACAGCCTCTAGGATGAACTAGTTACTATCTCCTTTATAAATTCATAATGAGGTGATAAAAAATTATTAAGAGTAATATACCAATGTTGTGGTTGTTGCTATGTGCTTTTGATTGGAATACAATTCAGAGAGACCCAATGAAGCACAGATTTGAACCCCGTCCTATCCTGTGTCAATCTCATCATTTCTGACCAATATACAAATATTGGTTGGGGTTGTGGGATTTTTTTAGTAATATTTTTTATTTGATTCTTTGAACAATAAAGTAGAATCTCATTTGTTTGGATACACTGGTTTCTCTGAAGAAGGTAGTTAAACTAGAAGACCTACAAAAGTTATTTTTCAGAAAAATAATCTGGTTTTTATGACATAAGGAAATGGAGTCATGCTGTTTTTGGATATTAAACTGAATGCTGTCATATAAACTGATTTCAGAGGTCTTGTTAACCGGATCAATCAGCTTCTCCATGTCTGTTTCCATAATTGGATATGTGGTTATCAAATTCAATAAAGACTCACGGGATTTGTAATCCTGCATAGTTTTTAGCATTACCTTAAGCATTATAGATCTTCTTTATTCTGTGAAATCACTAAAAGAGATTAGTATGCCAGATTTATTCTTTTTTTAAAAAAGATCCATCTCAGTCATGGTTGCCTTTTTTTTTCCTAGCTCGTTCACTTCCTTCTTATATCTGGTGAAGGAACACCTTTGTTTTTTCTTATACAGGTTAAACTCACTATCACTGAGTTGATTCCAACTTATAGTGACCCTCCTCCCTCAGGTATTCCAAGGCTGTAAATTGTTACAGGCGAAGGCTGTCCATCTTTTTTTCCAGAGGAGCACCTGCACCACTGATTTACCAACAGAAGCCGGTAACATCTGCAACACGCCAACAGGGTTCCTTAAAATTCATCAGTAATCCTAGCTTACTACCATCAAGTTGGAACAAACTCCTAGCTGACCCTCCATCAGGTTTTGAAGACTGCCTACTATAGGAAAGGAATCTGCTCATCTTTCTAGCACAGAGACATTGCTGGGTTTGCATCAGCAGAGAGGAGTGGTCTCTGATTCAGCAGCACAACTTCCTATAACGTACCGGAGAGCTCCCTTTAAAAAAAACCCTAACAACCAGGAAGTACATATTTTAAATTTCAATAGGTGGTGAGAAAGCTCCATTAATCTCACACAACAGGCCAAGAATAAAAAGAGTGTCACAAGGCTGTCAGATGAAGAAATCTAACTATGGGGAGTACACCGTAATCTTACTCAATCTCCCAGAGTAATACTGAAAACACCTTAAAATAATCTTTCAACTCTTAGAAGCTCAGCCAGGACAGACTTTTGATGCTGGCTACTTTTTCTCAGTCTATCTTAACGATTTCTCTTTCATTCATCTTTGGAATTGTAAGGTTCTGAAATGTGGTCTGGAGCTCCCCCACTCTCTTCTTTACATAGCCTACCAGTGATTATCTAGCCCTGTTGTGTCGTATCTATTCCATCACAGACATATTCTAACTTTCCAGATCCAAGATTGAACTGCTCCATCAGATGGTTCTTATTCTGTCACTCTTTACTGAGCACATCTATCTAATGATTCATGTAAAAAAATCAGAGTTATTAAAATCATCACCCACTCTTCTATACTATATTCAATATATCATTGAGTCTTGTTAATTCTACTTGTAATATACTTCAAATAGGTCACTCCTTATGATTATCCAACCACTATTCCCATCAGTTGTATCTGTCCAGTAACTCCATAGTTTGTTTCTCTGCTGCCATTCATACTCAATTTACATTTCCACTACAACCAGATTGTTGCTGTTGCTGTGTACCATCAAGTCGGAATTAACCCAGAGCTGGTGCTCCAGCAGGTTTTCAGAGGCACAGGAAGAGACTGCCCATCCTTCTCCCATAGAGCAGTTGGTAGATTCAAATGCCTGCCTTCAAGATTGCAGTGCAGTTTCTTACTACTAGGCCACCAGTTGTTGTTTAGTGCCATCGAGTCGTAGATGACTCACAGCGACCCTATGAACAAAAACCTGAGCACCATTCATAGTTTTCGGAGGCAAGCCATTTCAGAAATGGATGCTACTGATGCTTCCAAGCTTGTTTTTATTGGGAAGCTCCACAAAACACTGTCCACCAAAAAAAAAAAAACCCAAAAAAACAAACACTGTCCACCATGGGTAACCATTATCACATTTGGCACATCACTGTCACAGTGTTTAGCATCACAGCAACCGTGTGTTACCTCTATACAGCAACGCACAGACCAGTGCTATACCACTTACAAGAATGTTTGACAAAAACAAATTAAATCAGGACTGAGGGCAGCAGATTAAAATCACCTACCCTGGGCTTGGTAGCATAACTTTCTGTCCACTAGGCCAACGTAGCTCTATGTTGTCATTGTTATTGTTGTTAAGTGCCATAGGGTTGTAGACTACTCATAGAGCCCCTATGAACGAAAAGACCTGAGCACTGTTCATAGTTTCCGGAGGCAAGCCATTTCGGAAGTGGCAGCTTAAGAGCAGCCAGATTAAGCTTTCAAATATAATTATATTGTTGTGGTGGTGGTTTTTAGGTACCACTGAGTCAAGTACGACTCACAGTGACCCTATGAACAAAAGATCAGAAACCAGTCTTGTCCTGCACCATCCTCATACTTCCTGACACCCAAGAGCCCACTGCAGCAGTCAACTTGTCAATCCACTTGGTTGAGGGTATTCCCCTCATTCACTGTCCCTCCACCCTTCCCAACATCATGTCCTTCTCCAAGTGAATAGCACCTCCTAGCAGTATGTCCAAAAAATGTGAGGCGAAGCCTCATCATTCTTGCCTCCAAAGAGCACTCCGGCTGCATCAAGACATATTTACTCATTTTGCTACCCTTCCATGGAATATTCAGTGCTCTTCTCCAACACCACAGCTCAAAGGCATCAATTCTTTTTCTGTCATCCTTATTCACTGCCCAGGTCTTGGATGCATAGCTAGTAATCAGAAAGACCATGGCCTGAATCAGATGCACATAAGTCCTCGAACTGACATCACTACTCCTCAATAATTTGGAGAGGTCCCTAACTTCAGATTTTCTCAGTGCAATGTGTCTCCTTATTTCCTGACTGCTTGTACCAAGGGTGTAAATTGTGGATCCAAGTGAGATGAAGCTGTTGACAGTTTCAATCTCCTCTCCATTCATCATGACGCAACCTATTGGTCCAGTGGTAAAAATCTTTGTTTTCTTGATACTGAAATGTAATCCATACTGAAGGTTGCATTCCTTGATCTTCTGCAACAAGTACTTCAAATCCTCCTCACTTTCAGCAAACAAGGTTGTGTCATCTGCATAATGCAGGTTATTGATGAGTCTTCCTCCGATCCTGATGCCACACTCTTCATAGAGTCCAGCTTCTCAGATAATCTGCTCAGCATATAGACTGAACAGGTATGGAGACAGAATATATTCCTGACACATTCCCTTGCCAATTCCACATAGTACTCCCCTGCTCCATTTGCACAACAGCCTCCTGGTCCAGACATAGTTTCCTTATGAGCACAATCAAGTGCTCTGGGATTCCCATTCTTCTCAATGTCAGCCACAACTTGTCATTTATTAATATATTAAGCTTTCCTTTCTAAACACCTTCACTGGTTCTCAGGTGCACCCTAGGCACTGCCTTTAATGCTTTCACAGAAGGATGCTGCCTCACCTTGAGCCATTCAACTCCTCACTAGAGGTCATAAGGCTTTATTAGAGTCCTTGACTCAACCAAATACCTTCCCACATGTTATTCCCACTGCCTGGAAGAGTCTTTTTTCCAATGTTCAATTAGTCAACCCCAATTTATTGTTTAGCTCTTAACTCAAGCATCCCTTTACAGTCGTATTCCCTAAATCCTGAATTGTATTAAATTATACTCCATTCTGTCCTATATTGTCTTACATTCTACACCCCCTGCAATTATCTGCCAAAATGTATAACTTTATTTTGCAGACAACATAAAGGAAGCCTAGGGATATTTCAGAAAACAAGCAAAAGAGAGAAACTATACAGAAAAATTAGACAATTTGATCAATTTCAATGTTTTGACAGAACAAAGCTAATTGTATTTTTGTTAAGTTAATGAAATTGCAAAAGAGTAAGTAAAAACCACTTACATATCTAACATTTGCCTCAATAAATTTATAAACTTACTATCATTATGAAATTTAAAACAAAAAGACTAGTAGAGCTTCCTCTGCATGACAACAAAACTTTCATTTCAAAGACCTTTTGAGTAAAGTAGCCAGCTTCTTAAACCAAAGTCAGAAAATATCAGGCATATAGTGAAAATATGGTTCATTTTCTTCTTTTATAAAGGTGAAAAGTTGCACATTTTCCCAAAAATTTACTAATTTTAAGAACATAAAATTAGAGTATGATTTATAGTTTGTTTCTAAATTATGCTTTTGTTTCCTCATGTTGCTATTAGTGTATTACACTGTAAAACTTGTGAAAATCCTGTACTAATCATTTTACAAATTATCAACTAAATATGACAATCAAGTTCTTTTTCTCTGCTAGTGTTAATAGTAAAAGCTTTTTTAAAAAAAAACAAAGTAAATCACTGTTTAATCACTGTTTACTGTAATACTCTCCTTATTAAGGGAGTAACAAGACAGGTACATCATAGATCTTATCTGATCAAGCCTGGTATCTTCAACTTTACCATGTCCTACTTTCTGTCACAAGTTGAAAGCAACCGGCACCTTTTCTTGCCCACAGTAATATCACAAAATGAAAAACCTAACCAAAAAAACTTAAAGCTGGAAAAGACCTAGGACATCATAGAACTGGGGTAGGCTTCTAAGGCTATATACATTTTCTTTAAGCTCTGTTTAAAATAGTGAGCATACTGGTTTTCTTTTTTTCCTTAAAGGCAAAAAGAGAACAGTACGAAAATAACATTCTTACTCATTTAGCAGTGGAAAATAGACCAAGAATTCAGGGACATCCACAACGCCTTCCAATTTGAAATCGTATTTGCAGCCAAATAAAGGATAATCTCCTTTCTTCTGAAATTTCACAGTATATATTTCATTTCCAAATGATTCTGTTTCTGAAGCTTCAAGACGTTTTCTATAAGCATATTAAACCCCATGCCCAAAATGAAAAAGATTAAAATTGTTATTTAGCCCAAACTGCTACAAAATCTTAGTCTGATCAGATTATGTGTGTGGGGGGAAAAATAATAAAATGAAAAAATATATTTGATTAATTATTGACTACTTCAACTGAATATGATTAAAGAGTACTAATTAAGTCTCACTAGTAAAATCAGACTAGACATCATCTCAGTGTAATGATAGATGGTTCAAACTTAGTGACTCAGTATCTAGGGTCTGCAATTTGTCTACTCCTATAACCTCTATTTTCATGCAACATCAATCTTCAACTCACATACACTTAACTCACTGTGCAGTCAATGCTGACTCACAGGACTGTTCTTTAAGTTTCTTAGGCTGTAAATCTTTATGAGAGGTGAGAGCCCATCTTTTCCTGGGGAGCCACTGATGGGTTTGAAAGCCTAAAAGGCATGGCCTTTCATTACTGTTAGGACTTGCTATGGACCATATGTAGTTTTACCTTTAAAACTCTGGATTACGCAATTGAAAAATGGGCACAGGATATGAACAGACACTTCACCAAGGAAGACATTCAGATGGCCAACAAACACATGAAGAAATGTTCAAAATCCCTAGCCCTGAGAGAGATGCAAATCAAGACAACCATGAGATATCATCTCATTCCAGT